TATATATACATATATATATATATATATATATATATATATGTGTGTGTGTGTGTGTGTGTGTGTGTGTGTATAATTTGAAAAATCTTCATTCTTATGTTATCTTTTGTAATCATTCTTATGTAAGCTATGTAATCAATTGCAACTAACAACATAATATTATCTTCAAAAAGATGAACAAAACTACATAAGATAAAAGAAAATACGACACAAACATACATTACATACAGGTTTGAAGAGGATAAACATAGTTAGAAATCAAGAATAAACCAATTAATATAACTTTGTGTTTGATTGTAAATAATTTTTTGTTACTTTTGTAAAAAAAAAAAATTCTGGTACAGTATTGAATTACATTTAATAATATTATCATAATTTTGATAATATTTTTTAGATTTTAGATTTATTCATTTAACACACACTTTCATCCATTACAGCATTCCAGAATATTGTCTGTTTATAATTTAAGTTTTTTTACCATTATTATTTTCATAACTTTCATTATTGCTAAAATAGTAATATAAAAGTACATTTAATTGCTGTGAGAATCAGAATGTAGATTCTGAACTCTCCGTTCCATGAATTGCATAAAGGCAAAGGACATCCAGTTACATGAATAGCATATTTCATATTTCAGTATGTGAAAAACAAGATTTTGTGATGTCTTGTGCAGCGTTTTGTCCTTGAGCAGAGCGCTCTGATAACTTCAGAAACAACCTAAGATGCATGACAACTAGACTTTATAATCCAAAAAGCTATATGCAATGTGAGCGTTTCTGACAGCAGATATGGCTGGTACTGTGCAACTATAGAGAAATAAATGAATATTTATGTCATGCTCTGAGGCTCCCTGACACGCTACGCTTCTGAACTGTGAAGAACTCAGTTGTGTTGGTGCGTTCCATGAAATATTGCATCAGCCGGAAAGAAATAAATGACAACTTTTGGGAAATATGTGTGGCACGGTGAAACTGTCACATACTGCATTATGATGATGGGCCTGTGGATATGTGACTAACAGCTGTCAACTAATGCAATATAAACTATTATTAGAAGAGATCTTTAATAATCCAGCTATGTTTGGATCTCAGTTTGAAAATGCACAATTTTTTTTTTCTCACCATCAACCAGCATCACTGTTTTAGATTTTTATTTTATCACCAACAATACCCTGCTTGCTGAAACCAAACTGAAGAATTACAGCACTTTTATATTTATACAGTACTTGAAATTGTAGTATTTTTACATGGGAAAAGTTTGAATGAATGAATGAATAATACACAGTGAAAATTAAACATTGCTCATCTTCTTTATCTGTTAAACTGTAAAATTAAACAAATACTGAAAATTATACATCATTCAACTTCTTTATCTGTTAAACTGTAAAAATAAACTAACAAATGATAAACACTGCCAAATTATACATTACTCAACCTCTATCTGTTATTATTATTATTATAACTGTACAAATAAATAAATAAACACTGAAAAATTATACATTATTTAACTTAATCGGTTAAAACTGTAAAAAAAAATTTAATAACCACTAAACAATTATAAATTACATTGTTAAAACTAAAATTAAATAAATAAATAATAAATTGTGTAAATTAAACATTACTCAACGACTTTATCTGTTAAATTGTAAAAAAATAAATAAACTGAAAATGTATATATTACTCAGCATTTTTGCCAAATCTGCAAAAATGATAGTTACAAATTATAAATTATTCAACTTCTTTCTGTTAGTAGTATTATTATTATAACTGTAAAAATAAATAAAATAAAATACATACTGAAAATGACACATTACTCAACAATTATCTGTTAAAACTGTAAAAACAATAAACTGTTTCAAACTATACATTATTCAACTTCTTTCTGTTATTATTATTATGCAAATAATAATAATAATAATAATAATAAGTGTGCACATGTGCAAATAGTTTATCATCTAATGCAGATGGAATGGAGTTTATAATAAAAATAATGGAGTATTTACTAATAAAAATGAAGTTATTGTTCTAAATAAACTTCACGTCATCTACATTAGATGCTCAATTATTTGCACAATTGATTCTCCTCTAGTTTGGCACGTTTTCTTTTTTCCAGACGGACTCTATCAGGACAGACCTGTGATCATGCACCATGCAATACTCACGTTTTTTCATGCCTCTCCCGTTCCAGGTCTTGTCGCTGGGCGCCGATGTGCTTCCAGAATACAAGCTCCAGACGCCACGCATGGATAAGTTCACCATCCTGCACTACAGCCCGTTCAAAGCGGTGTGGGACTGGCTCATCCTGCTGCTGGTGATTTACACAGCCATTCTCACCCCTTACTCTGCTGCCTTCCTGCTCAACGACAGCGAGGAGCATAAAAGACGGGAATGTGGCTATTCCTGCAGCCCTCTGAACCTCGTGGACTTAATGGTGGACATCATGTTCATCATCGACATCCTCATTAACTTTCGCACCACCTACGTGAACTTGAACGAGGAGGTGGTGAGCCATCCGGGGAAGATCGCCATCCATTACTTCAAGGGCTGGTTCCTTATAGACATGGTGGCGGCCATTCCCTTCGACCTGCTCATATTTGGATCAGGATCAGATGATGTAAGTCACGCCAGATCTTAATCTACTTCCCTCTGCACTTGGCTGCCGGTCTAATCTAGGGATCTCAAACTCAAATTACCACTTGCCAGGTGGTGTTCTCCTTCATATTGGCACAATTATGGGGTTATTGCACACATGCATCCACATTTTGCAATGGATATGAGCAAACAGGCCTGCATGTTGTTGTCAATGAGGCTGCAATTATGCTTGCATTTGTGCATTAGGCCTACAGGGCTCTACGGATACTTTTCGAGGATATGTCTGTGATACATTACTCAACGCTGCAGAAACACGTACCTATATTAGAACCTTTGAAGCTCCCTCAGCGTAAACACAAATATGCTGGATCGGGTCAGTCACACAGGTGCTCCTAAATATTGTTTCATAGTCGCACGCAGTAGTTTTCAGTCGCACTGTAGAGCCCTGGCCTATATTCAAAAGTTTGGGGTTGGTAAGATTTTTTTATGTTTTTGAAAAAAGTCTCTTCTGCTCATCAAGGCTGCATTTATTTGATTAAGAACACAGTAAAAACAGTATTATTGTGAAATACTGTTATAATTTAAAACAAGTATTTTCTATTTCCATTTATATTTAATTGATTCCTGTGATGGCAAATCTGATTTTTGAGCATTACTCCAGTCTTCAGTGTCACATGATCCTTCAGAATATACAGATTTGGTGATGTAGTGAAGAATCAGGATTTTCATTTTTATTGGAGATAATTTATTTATTGAATTTACTTAAAGCTTCTAAGATTCCTCTAAGAAAGCTCCTAATTTAGCTTAAAAATTTCTACGTAGGAGTCTTAACGTAAGAGC